ATGCTTCCCCTTTGCCGGGCGGAAATTTAGGGCAAAGAAAAGGATGAGGTGGGCGAACTTAAGAAGCTCTTCTGATATCAACTGGCATCAATGAGCGGTCTAATGCCTTTGAGGGAGGTTGATAAAACGAAGGAGAAAGAGTGGAACAAGCTATATAGCTTAGAAGAATTCCTTAGGGTTTTCTGAACAATGGGAGTGGGCAAATAGGCTGAGCTACTAAAACAATTCATTGGACAAAAGAATATAGTGGCGATGGGCCATAGATATTCTATAGCTCCGTGGAGATCCAAGTTTGATGCCGGTAAGAGGTTCAGAAAATGGAGTTTTAAAAATCCTGCGTAGTTTCACACTTAGGCATACTCAGTCATCCACTCAAACAGTGTATCCATGAAGAATAGATATTTCTTTGTCATGTTGAGATAACCCATAGTTGCTTTCCTAGTAGTACAAGTGGTTTCTGTTGGAGAAGCGCTAGAAATTAAAACTTGGCTGTGGCAGAAAGTCGTGTGGTACCAAGAGGTTATTCGATATATATATATATATATATATATACCGAAACGGATTTGCGTAAACTGTCATAGCAAAAGCAGTACTAAGCGCTTTGCATCCACTTGTCCTCTTATACAGGAACTCTGAACCACTTAGGCCACGTCCTAAAGCCGAATAATCTTCGAACCTCGATGCCTAAATCTTAGATCTGTCTCTGATTTTCTGACCTATTCCGAACATACGCGCATTTCGCAATTAAATAGGATTTCGTAACACATTGGAAATGCCTTGAATAGCAAACGATTTCACTTTTCTTCTGTTGCTATTGCGAGATCTCGTGTCCGAGAAGCGCCAGATAGTTCGTTGACGACTCTACAACGCCAGTGCCTCAACCGGCGGTTGTGCAAGTATGGACGCCACTAATGCACTATGGGGCAAGAGAACCAAAGAGTTGCTTTGATTTGACATACAAAGATGCCCTTTCTCGCATAATAGACCTACGTACCGCTCTCCTCGCAACTAGTGCTCGTAGTGTTGATTATATTCTTATCACACCTTCCAAAGGGACTGCTCTGATGTAAGCCACAATCACAAAACTTTGCACCAGAACTCCCTTCATTTTCATGATGACTCTAGCAAAAAACATTTTCGTCACTTGTTCTATTTTTGAAGCTGCTTTCTTGTGAGGGACGCGTTACAGCGGACCGGTGTAGACTGTTACGGGCTGGTGAAAACGCGTTATAGTCACTCGTTTTATCTTCATATAGCCGTAGGTAGATTCAACCCATAGCAGCAGACATAATACATGCGTATCTGTCTTTGTTTGTGCGGCATTTGTGTATCTAAGGTTAATGTTTTACAGATTATTATATCTAGCGTATTTGCGACTAAGTCTGAACTGACCTTTTCAAAAAAGCAGTTTGCTCTATTTTTGTGTATGCAATAATGTCTACAGAATCTCTATTGTAGAATTAAGGAATTAGTTGAACACATCTTACAAAAATCTCATACAGGCCAGACAGACAAACTAACATAGACACCGACGTAACGGTCAACGAAAAGAAAGTAGCTTCAAATGAAAACATTCTAATTTGTTTTCTACCACTTTATCTCTCGTCGCCTCCTTTTCTGTGCAACTCTCCACGGGCTCTGGCACCGACCGAATAGAGCAGGAGGTAAGAAAAGAAAATGGTGGCTACCTTTCTTTAGATAGAGTAGCAAATGAAACTAAACTTTAGAGCGACAGGAAAGGCGTTCCCTAGCACTCCCCGAAGGGTTAGTTGGGACGAAAAAATAGGTCCGCAAAAATGAAAACCATACACAAACCAGCTCTGAGTGAGGTAAATACAAAGACCGAGGTACTATCCCAGAAAGTGTTGCCACCATCCAACGGGGAAAGTTGCGCAGTTCCTACCTTCGCAGTAACCGTCGAACTGTTTTGTATACTACCTTGCTGCTACTGCTCTTCTAGAAGAAGGTGGGCGACGGCAGAAATGAAACAGTAGTCAGATGGTCGATTGGTAGAATGGGTCCGACCCCATCTGACGGACGTGAGCCACCTTCAGGTTGCCTACGGCAAGACTGCCTTCTATCTACATGTGCGCTCAAGGGCACGATGTAACAGAAGGTGCAGAGAGGACGACGCGCTGCACGAACGCCAATATTGCCAGACAGCAAGCTGACACAGGGTAAGAAAGTGACCCGAAAATAAAAACAGGTCGAAGACAGGTAGGAAACGAAACACTGGACGGCTGATACGTGGAAACGTTGAATCTGATACCGATGCAGGCGTTTTGCATCGTTTTTTCTGCCGATCTGCTGGTGCCGCGCTGGCACGGCGGTTGAAGTCATAGTGGTTCCAGAGCTGGGGGCAGCACCTTCTGCGGGGAAGGAGTTGATTTGGGGAGCTGGTGGGGGTAGACACCCGACATTGCACAAAAATGCAATCCTATTTTTCCTTTACTTTCGTTTCGTGCTGTTGCCGTTTCTGTCGGTTGTTCCTGGCTGGTCATCGGCCTTTTCCATACAACAGTTATTTTGCCTGTCCCTCTGTTTGTTCACCCCATCACCCTTAGGGTGAAAACTCTTGATGCAGGAACGAGCTATGGTGTACAATGTTTTCACTACAGCTACCCGCCTGTTGCTGAGCCTTCCAGCCACTTGCTTGCCGGTTTGTTGGCCGCTGGCAGGTTACTTGCAAAATTTGGTACGACCTTCGCCGACTGCTTTTTTTTCAGCCTTCGGTACCGATTCTGTTGCTTATGCATCGCCCCGCCAAAGAAAACGAAACATAAAGGCAGGAAAAACCGGATGTTAAAGAACAATTGGAAACAATTGTTTTATGGGAGTGGTCTACTGCGCGAAGCAAGGGAAAAGGTGGAAATAGCCATTTGAAGAGATGATGGATGATGCCGGCTAAGCAGAGGAGATGGCCTGGGGAGACAGTGTAAGGTTTCATTTTCATTTACGTAGGGCAACAGCAACACGATTGCCTTACATGTTTCGCTTTGCTATGCCAATAACAATGGAAGTAACGTGGACGTTGGTGACAAAAGCAAAGAGCCGCAACCAGTCATTAGGCAACATTAAAGGCATAAACGGTCCGGCCACTCAGACAATCATAGCCACGACCAAACTAGTACATATGGGATCTCCATGAGTCTAGCTACTTGTCGGTGGCATCGGACCTTACGTCATCATCTGGTCCGGTCACACTAGGAGGGGAAATGGGAAATGGATGAAAAAAAAGCCCATTCCTTTACTTCTCTGTACCGCTGCGTATCTAGACTGCGTTCGCGTACGTTGATTTCTTGCGGTTGTATGACTCCAAAACTAGGCCGGCGCTTGCGTCAAGATTCAGCTGCAATGGTCGTTTGAACAGTACAGCGACATTATCATTCGCATCCCTAACCACCGTAATGATGCGTTGACAGTCTTCTTCCCTTGACGTTCAAAAATGGGTTTCGTCAATTTAGATATATATTTCTAGCTCTTTTGTAGTTTTTTTAGACCCAGTTTTTCTTACACCGTCTTATTGTGGGTTTGAGAGCACAACGTGTATAAATATGACAAAAGGTCATATTTAGTTTTGGATTAATCACCTATCAAAGTGCTTCTATTATAGGAAATATTATCAGAGTTGTGATTCTGATACTCGGTTTCAAATAATTTTTGTTTATCTTAAATTTTTTCGATAGCGTCCCTATTTTGTTTATATGACCTTACTACAATGACGAGTAAATAAGACAGCTTATCATCTCAGCAAAAAGTTGATTTTGCTTTTTACCTGTTTTCCTTTGCCTAGTGCTGTTTGCACGGTTTCGTTGGTTACCAGCCGTAGTTTTTGTTTACTCTGCTACCCGGGTCGTATCATACTCTGTATTACGGACACAGTTCAGGTCTTATTAGCGTCGTCAGACAAGTAAGAAGGAACTAACAATGTGCATTCTGGTCGGTGCCGCCATTACAGGGCCAATAGTCAAGCGACATTTATTCTGGGCATACTCGTAACAGTTTTAAACTGGCGCCCGACATTAAGTTAGACCAGCAGCTTCTTAAAACTTTAGGACTACGTCGTAGACCTGGGGGGCGGAGGCATTGCCAGAGGAAGCATAGGGAGAAGCTAGTATGGTTAGAGGCGGTTGAGGGGCATCGTATATAAGCGCGAAAGAAACCGAAGCAAGACAGGCAATTACTAGTGACTGACTGACTTGCACGCTAGTTGACTGACTGATTAAAAGCGGCGTTAACCAATGGAGCTGGTTAAGCACGACTGAGAAGTCCTGAATGGGTTACTTTCCCGGTACGCGTCATAGCAGGACACAATATTAGTAGTGAGGTTAGTTTACTAGCTAACGAGCTTGCCCCACCCACGCCAACGGTAGACACAGAAACTGGTCACAGCTGCAATTCGCGGTTTAGCTGACCCGGTCGCCTGAACGACTCCGTAGGTAAGTATGCCGGTATCCAAGAACACCTTGTTTCGTGAGAGACACGAAATTGATTTTTCGCCAGAAATAGCAGGGAGACGCCACGGTAACAATAATATTATAACCTCACAACAACTCGGTACGTTCTTCCGAGTTGTCGATATAAACCAAACCTTGACAGCCTTTGGAGTTTACACCTCCGAAACTCCTATTAGGCCACAGCGTGAGGCTACACCGTGGTGGAGCAAACAAGTGCTGATGAGACTGGCTATGAAAAGCAGTTGAAAGCCCAGAGCGAGGAACAGGTTTGTCGATTTTTGCTAAAGTCGATCGTTGCTGCCGTTGAATTCTGTTGACGCGCCATGTTTAAACCGGAATTATTGCTTGCCCCAGTGAATGCTTGCGGGAATTTTAGAAAAGCTCAATTGGGATGGGAGTATTCTCACAAAAATATATGCTCTATATTTTTCCGATATCATTGTAATAAGGTGAAATCATTAACTTTCTTACCATGCTATTAAAAAATTAAACCGCAATAAATATATCTGTTTTCTTTACCCTATTTGTTTTTCTGAATTATAGGGAGCTACAAGTGCTAAAGAGGTAACTGTGTGCATGACACATGCACAATCACCGCTCTAAATCCTACAAGCGTCTCAGTCGAGCTCAGCAATGGTTGCGCGAAGCTGCCGTGCAGTTTTCTAAGCATTCAGTTTGCTTAGTCCGCGTTGCACGATCTGCTGGGCTTGCCTGAGGCTTGTCGGAGCTGAGCTCACGGTGTGAATGCGACTCCGGCCCCCCTTCGACGGCGGGGTCGCCCGACGTCATGAGGCGTGCGGCCGTCGAGTCCCCATTCGCCCGGCTCTGACGCACTCAACTTTGGTGGTAGCAGGCAGCGGGCTCACCAGTGATCCTCGATTCGACGCCGTCGTTCCAATACCGACTGTTGCAACGGGGAAGTTAGTCACAACAAGTCATCTAAGATCAACCGCGGCATCGAGAAGAGTATTGGCCAACGCTTCCAGTAGTTGTGATAGTGATACCGAGGCTTACGACGTTGCCAATCTAAGACTATGCCTGGACATCGACGTTCTAACGACAACAAGACAATATAATGAACGAAGTCAGTACATGCACCGACGACTGAGGTACGGCGACGTTGAAGAGTATGTGGTAAAAGTCAGCAAAACTCAGCAGCTGTCAAAAAAAACTATCAATAGCCAGAACAACAACACAAGCAGTCGAAAAGAAAAGACGACGTGCCGCAACAAAGACGCTTGCGCTCCGCTGCTAACTTCAAAATTATCAACAATGTACAGAAGTGAGTGACCTTTTTCATCACAACCAAATTTGTTATTAATATCTAATCTCTTAGTCAATTAGAAGAACTTTTACCATTTTTATTTCGATTACACGTTACTAGAGTTCGCGTAAACGTTACCTGATCTATCGTATCGACTATTGAAAAGAGACGAACTATCTTTGCTTTGTGGTGAATTGCCCTGTCTTTACGGCAGTTCCTCTGCAATTGATGCAGCTGCTGTAATTCTGCCGATAGGATAGGCGGGCGACGCTTAAAAATCAAATTCACCCGGGTGTTTTCTTCTTTTTGCGTCTGTCCACTACGCCGGTACTGTTTCTACTTTTCACTGGACGGTAGACGAAATGGGCCGCCGACTAACGGCTCTCTATTAGTAGACACTTCTGGGATCAGAGGAAAGTAAATCTCGACATTGGAGCGTGCGGAAAGACGAATAAATCGCTTGAGAGAGACTGAGAGAAATCGGATTTTCTATCTCGGTAAGGTTTTGTTGGCAGGCTCTGTTTTTTTTCTCTATTCCCCATACATACATCGCCAGTATTTTGAAGCGAGTACCCTTCATCGTCGCCAGTGGCGACGAAGCGCTGGTAGCCAAGCTTAAGTTGCTTCCCGTCGTTTATCTACTTTCCATCCGATCGTTCCGACGACACAAAATATCTTATCGGCTAGCCATTTTTGCTGATGTATTTGTTTTTCCAATATACTTCGCTTCTGTAATGCTTTAATGCGCATCATCACACAACGGCGACAATAACCATTCTTCAGATGTGCACGTGACGAGGTCGTGTTATATACACGAACGTAGTTTAGGTACTTGCTTGACTTTTGAAGAAAATACATCTTTTATACAAGCAAATTTCGAGACTGTGTCTAACGCTGCTAGTTAGTAAACGATACCCCGTCCGCCGCCACGTGTGGTCCATCAAATATCAAGGCCGTCGCTGCGTTTAGTTGCCATTTATCGATTAGCGGTCCTACGAGCTCCTAAATACAATGGGCGAAGCTGTCGAAGTCAAGATACGAATCAATAGGTGAGTGTCGTATTCTGCCGTATATTTATATTATTGCTTAGTCGAAATTAAAGGCACAAATCCGTATGCCGTTATCGACGTTGATTAGTTAACCCGACGATTTACCACCGTTCCGTTTCGCCAGCGCGGTGGTCGAAGATAAATCGAAGCGTCCTTCTGCCAGCTCTGAAGTCTTTTTTCGTCGTTAGTCATGTCGCTAAACTTGCAGTGAACTTGTTGCGTCTCGTGTTGTTTACATATATCGAGTAAATCCGTATGTACTTCCTAGCACAATCTCTCTACCCCACCTTTCGTCATTTGTTTTTTTCTTTGATTGTGCCTAATATTCGAAACGGCTGATTAACTATAGTAGACAATTGCTCGAGCGGACAATCGTGGCAAGACCGCAAGCGGAAATGATTGGAAGGGGGGGAACAGCACATTTAGCAAGGGCATCATTATCCACGTTGGTGACTTTTAGCAAAGGTAATCACCTCGCATCACCGCGTTTCACCTGCATTTTAAGTTACTGGATTCAGATTTTAAATATTGGCCGGCTTGTTTTTTAACGTAACGAATACGTATACGCGCTGCCGTTGCTATAATTACTATTGTGCGTATGTACATTTTGTGCTTCTTAAATAATTTCATCTGGATGCGTCATAGATATTGTCACGTGTGCTTTATGATATCCATATTGAATTGAATTGAATTGAATCACGGTTGCTGTAGCAGCAGAAGCAGTGGCAGCGGCAGAAAGTCATCGTTGTTTCCCATCGTAAAATGTAGCGCTTATTGTTTTATTATTATTATATAGAACATTATAGTCACTTGACGAACGAGGGTAACAGAAAAAGCTATCGAGCTTGGTAAACAGATATGAAACGTTAGAAACAACGTCATTTTCAAACAATAAAAAAACTAATTATTCTAGTATAGAAAACATTTCGTTTATCTGGCTCGGAAATATCGAAGGCTTGCATTTCGTACTATATTTAAAGGAATGAGTCGTTGAACGACTGTTACCTTCATCATGCGTGATGCAATGAAGACACCTTTTTGTCGTGCACGGCATTGATGCTAATCGATATATGGTTTATTCTTAGCGGCCATCAACGAAATGTCTGAATCATCGCACAATGAATTGTTGATCGGACGGCGAAATAAGCTAAAAATACACACTGAGTAGCGTAGACATGCGATAACTACACTGGGAACCCTTCACTCCTGAATTTCTTGAGCAATTTCTAATGGAGATCTACAATGATGCTAACTTTCCGCGTGAATAACATGTAATATATTCTATCTACAATGAGGTGGTATATGTTATTCACCCGGAAAATTAGGTCCACTGGTCCTAATTAGGTCCACTGGTCCAAATTAGTCCAAAATTAACTGATCCACGTAACTTAACACGGAACACAAATTACGATACAATACAGGACTTATCACCGATAAAACAAGCTTACATGAGGTGCACATAGCTGGCTCCGTATATTCCACAAAGGTAGAAAGAATTCTGTAGATAATCCTATGTATTTATGTACTTTGGCAATAAAATTTCGCAGAAGATCGTTTTCCTGACAATCAGCTTCACTAATACCCACCACGTTGTACCTATTAAATGTGCCACTTGTGTCCTTACACGTTCGACGGGCAACGATAGCGACGCGTGTCTATTTTTTTGCCCATTTTGAAGCAGTCAATATCGTTCGATCAACGCCACCCAATTACTAAGCACTAAACAAGGTAAATACGAGCTAGCGGACAGAGAGTGTCGCTACCGCTGTTTTTTTTTTCGGCTTAACAAATTGTAGATAATTTTTTTATATACTTAATTTATTATATAGTGGTCGATTAACGAAAAAAGCAGCTGCAGTTCAGTGAACTATGTACATCAAATTAAAAAGATGCCGGTTTGTTCTTGGATTTTCTCTAAAATGCCATTAAATAAGCCAAGGCTCCTTAAGGTGCTCTTACTATTGATGAGATACTGCCGCTGTCGATGTTAATAACGTTGGTCCTTGATTAGCGCCGCGTCACTCAGGAGATCTGTAATAAGCCGCATCAGCAGTCCTCCTGTTCCAATATTTCGTATTCGGGATACTTCATGCTGCTGCAGACTCCACGTATGGTTTGTTGTTGCTCTTTGGAAAATTCAATGATTGAATTGAGTCCGCTAAATCTGAGTGATGTAAATATATTGGTACGGTTTGTATCTGTATAATGAGCCTCGATTGTTTGCTATATCGGTGTTGATGTTATCCTTCAGACGCCGAGAACCTGCTGCGTGTGGCATCTCTCCATGTCTAATCGCCACTAATTTACCCCCTAGAGTAAGAATTTTTAAATAGTAATAATCATATAAATCAGGTCGGTTCCAAATCTCTAAACAGCGGGCTAGCACAAAGGCGCCATTCCAAAATCGTACTTGAACCTCACGTGAGGTTTAACACTCTACCTATACGATTCGAATTATCGGTCAACCGTCGATGGCCTTAGATCTTTGTCTTATTTTTATATTTGAGCCTTGTTGCTGTACTTGATCACAGTCACCGTATAGTATACACTATACGCAATTCTGCTTAGTTATTGTGGATGTCGATAAACAATCAAAACAGGCCAAACAAAGCGAGCAAGCACAAATTCGTTCTGCCATATCGCGCATTGGGTTTTAACGTTATTGTTGTTGATCACCGTCAGAAGCAGCGTTCATTCGTTGGTCAGGTACCTCCTCAACCTGTACCCCATAGCATCGGCACTACGTACCTATATATAATATACGGTCTATCTGCTCTGCTTCGCGTTGGTTCAACCATTCCACGAATTGGCTATACCTTGTCCCAGTGTAGCGTCGGGGGAGGAACAGAGCGTTCCATCCCTCCTAAACTGTAGAGGCTTTGTAACGGGGTGGAGTTAGACCCCAAGAGAGATGAGTTTTGCATGGCGTTCATACGAGACAAGCTTGTATGATTCATCTGGTTGATACCGTGAGCTGTATTGACCGAAGGTATATGGATGTACAGCGCAACGGTGGTCGACGTTTGCCGATGCCGGCTTATGTTTTTGTTTGTTATAGCGTCGTCCAGTTTGTTCAACGTAGAAAAAGTCTCACAAAGCGAAGTTCATTTATCTGTTAACAGTATTAGAATTTTTCGCTGATAAAATAGTTTACAATGCCGAGACGAGTTGAGTTACTGACATTGTTCGCAAGGGTTTTGTTCAATTATTGGGACTCATATAGTTTGTATAGTTTAGATCGGCGTTATCGATCGTCAGAAAAAATGGGCATGCTGGCATCTTTGCATGCACGTCGCTAACGTTTATAATTTTATCGTAATAGTATTATATTTTAGCTCTGTATTGTCTTTTACAGGTCTCGTTGTTAGTAGCTATTTGTTTGTTGAACCTTAATTCGCTTGCACGTAGCAGCCATTGTTCCGATGACGTTCGAGCTGCCGAAGTAAACAGTGCGCTTTTTGCTGCCGTATTAGTTGTTTACGTTGTAGTACAACTTTCGTTTGAATTAAGGCAGCAGTTCCTTATACTACTGCTGCTGCTGCTGACGACGTTTTGTTAACTGTGTGCCCGACGCTGTAGCTCGAAAACCCATCTTTCTGTTTACTTGTCTGCGTTTTGTCCTGCTAGCCAAGAGTAAGGTGTATGAGCAGTAAGTAGTGAGCAGTAACTCATCCCTTCCGTCATGGTGTTTGTCGCATATTTTTTTGGATTTCTTTTTGCTGTACCTGCCCGTTTTTCTACCTCGTATCTCCTTGCCCGACGTTTCGTAGTTGCCCCCCCCCCCCCCGCCGTGCTTCGATCGTTCTGGCGTCGTTGCTAACTGTTCGTTGTGCCCTGGACGTCTCGTCGGTCGTCGCCGTTTCTCACTGGCACCAGCGTTGTTGATTCGTAGCATCACTGATTTGCCCGTAGCATCTGAGCATAAGGCAGCATCACGGATAGTGAGCGAAGGCGCTGAACAGCTCCATG